CCTCTGCCATCTTCCTCTAGACTCCCTCCTTATTTTATTTATCCATTTGTTGGAGTTCTCTTTGTATGAAGTTAGTTTATTTGTATCTTGATTTCTTTCATTTCATTAATCATTCCTGCCATAGATCTTCTGAGTTCATTGGTAGAGATCTATGTGCTTCACTTTCATTCAGTTCCTTTGTTGTAGAATTGTTGACCTTTGGGAGAAACATATTTTCTTATATCCTCATTTTACTAAAATTTCTGCACATCTAAATGTGTGTTTTCGATTGAAGAGCTAAGTCTCTTTCAGTTGGGAATTTACTAATGTTTAGGTATGACTGGGTAGTGGCAGGATTGTAGTGAATTTTTTAGTCACTATTCTATAAGGAGACATGGCACAGTAGTAGTCAAAGATAGTATTCAAGAGGCTGGTCCCATTCCATGTATGATTCAGGGAGAACAATTTTAGCTGCAGAGATAATCACAGATGACACATGCCCACTCTGAGACAGCAACAGTTGCTATTAGCATTAAAGCTTTACCACATCTTCAGTATCTTGGAAGAATTACAGGGGCAAAGATGATACTTTGTGGAAAAGGAGTACTTTGGTTAGTAATGCTAACAATTATCACCAGGTATGTACTGTCAGAAGGGCAGAAGGGGTGGCAATTATGGCTAGTTGAAGGGGGTAATAAAAGAGTAGAGTTTGAGAGGTAGAAAAGTCTGGTTAGTGGTGTATTGAGGAAAATGGCAATAGAGATTGAATGATCACATCCAAATAAGTAGGTAAAAATATCTGGCAATCTGGTTAACCTGCTAAAGGTAACAAGGACAGATTGTGGATGCATGAATAAAGATGGAAGAAAGCATGATTGCTATAATAGTTCCATAGTTCCATTGGTAAACCAAGGGGCATATTTATATACTTAAGCAGAATTTTGTTGAAGGGGAGGCTGTGTTGTAATCACAGGTAAAGTAACTATAAAGGAAAACAGAAGGAAGAATTAAGTCAACAAGAATGGAGGAAAAGAAATACCCAAACCAAATATATGTTTTTAAAATTCTAAATAGAAAAAAACAATAAAAACAGAGGGAGAGAGAGAGAAAGAGAGAGAGAATTTCAGAGTTCTCAACTGTTCTATCCTTCAGTATAGCAGGTGTCAACATAACCACTTGCTATAATGGTGAGTCCCCAGAAGAGATCGGGAACTGAAAGTCTAATTAGAGTCTCTAGTAAGGGGTTGCTATGCTTTAGTAGAAGCATAGAAGCCTAGGTAGCCATAGTCGTAGACAATAAAAGCAGAATTGTGTTTCTGAGGCTTATAGAAGCAATTCTATTGCCTTGTGGGATCAAAAGGGGCAATTCTACCCACAGTATTACATTTAGGAAATATATTTAATTTCTATACTTAAAAGACAGAGAGGGAAGAGGGGAGGGAAGGAGAGGAGAAAAACAGAGAGAGAGAGAGAAATGATGAACAAAATATGGGAGGTGTCATTGGAGGCGTGCCATATCAGGTCATATTAGAGTCTGAAGCAAAATGAAAAATCCATTATACCAGTGCTATCTATATCTAAATTTTAATATTTTTCTTATCATGGATTTTGCACTAGTTTTGATTTTAAAACCATCACATAGACAGAATATTTATCTTGCTTACTGAATTTTGAGCCCTTAATTTAAAAGTTTGAGTGGATTACTGTTATTGTTTTGCTTTTTTTTTTTTGCTTAAAATGCTTATTTTTGTTGTTTGTGTTGTTGTGGGGCTTGAACTCTGGGCCTGGGTGCTGTCCCTCAGCTCTTCAGCTCAAGGCTAGTGCTCTGCCACTTGAGCCACAGTGCCACTTCCGGTTTTCTGGTGGTTAGTTGGAGATAAGAGTCTCACCGTCTTTCCTGCTCGGGTTGGCATTGAACCACGATTCTCAGATCTCAGCCTCCTGTGTAACTAGGATTATAGGTGTGAGCCACCAGCACTCAGCTAAAATACTTTTTAAAAGATTAAAAATAACCATTTAATATTTGCTGGTAAATTCATAATTTCTGGCAATCTTCATTATTTTGTCGATACAGGTTCACAATTGTATCATTTCTCTTTTTGCTTAATTACATCTTTTAATTTTCATAGTAAAATTGTGCTGGAAATGAATTATCCTTCTATTTCTTTGTATAAAAACATTTTCATTTCCCCCTCATTCCTGAGCAGTATTTTTTTACTGTGTGTGAAATTTTGACATTTTCTTTCAACCTATTCCATAAATTTCTCATATTAAATGGGAATATCTGCTGTATGCATTTTAGACTGTATTTCTTGCTTCATATGCCCCCTGTTGGCTACTTTTAAATTTGTTTTTATTGTTTTTTTTATTATTTTTTTCTATTTTGGTTATAATGATCCTTAATACAATGGGTTGGGCGGAGATGTATATTCTTTTCTTTATGCTTCTTGATATTTATTTAGATTCTTGGATTTGCTGATGTAAAACTTTCACATCAAATATTAAATCTTAGTTTTTATTTCTTCAGCTATTATTTGTCTTACCAATTTGGGGGACTCTATACATATATAATACTGCTTGGTATTGACTTGAAAGTCATTTCTACCCCATCATTCTTATTTCTGTACTCCATATGAATAGATTCTGTTGCTTCATCTTCAGCATCTTCAAGTTCACTGGTCTTTGCATGACCTGCAGTATCTGATCTGTTATAAGTTTTATGCACCAGAATTTTCACTTATATTTTCCATTTCTGAAATTATATCATACATTTATGTCTTTTGTTCACGTTTTCCTATTTATGTAATTTATATTTTTGTTTTATATTATTTAACACTCATTTAATTCCATCTTTCATTTTTTAATTTATTTCTATTAAGCTTCTTCTCTTACATATATTCACATGTTTCTGCATCTTTTTTTTTTTTTTTTGCCAGACCTGGAGTTTGAACTCAGGGCCTGGTCACTGTCCCTGAGCCTCTCTGTGCTCAAGACTAGCATTCTACCACTTGAGCCACAGTGCCACTTCTGGCTTTTTCTGTTTTTGTGGTACTGAGGAATCAAACCCAGGGCTTCATGAATGCTAGGCAAGCATTCTACCACTGAGCCACCTTCCCAGCCCTATTCCTGCATCTTTACACTTCTACTGAATTTTAGTTTTATGCTAGAAAGTGCAGTTTTACAATGATGGCATATATTAACTTGTATTTCTTTTAAAAGGGTTGGGATTTTTCTAGTAGGTGGTTAAAGTTACTTTTCTTTTTGGCAGTTGTGGGGCTTGAACTCAGCCTGGGGGCTGTCCCTGAGGCTAGCGCTCTCCCACTTGAGCCACAGTGCCACTTCCGACTTTTTCTGAGGCCTCATGCATGTGAGGCCAGCACTGTGCCACTGAGCCACCTTCCCAGCCCTAAAGTCACTTTCAAATAAGCTTTGATACTTTGGAATCATGAGTTTTTTAGAAAAGCCTTTTTTATGGGGGTTCTAAAATAACTCTAAATTCATTCTAGTTCCAAATGATCCTCATATTTTTTATTCTTCCCCTCCCCTCTCCCTCTTTTTTCCTTTCCTTTTCTCTCTCTCTTCTTTCTTATTCAAGGTTTAACTGTATAGCTCATCAGTCTTGAACTCACAAACCTTTTACCTGAGCTTTCCAAGTGCTGAGATTACTTCTGTGAACATCTGGCAGTTATCCTTATATTCAAGCTGTGATCTCCTGAACTCCCTAAAGAATGTCCACAAAATCATTGAATTCTTACTGGATGGAAACTGAATAATTCACATCTCATTTGAGGTCTGTGATTTGTCTTATAATTTGTTGTTTTGTTTTGTTTTTTGTCTGTCATGGGGCTTGAACTCAGGGTCTGGGCACTGTCTATGAGCTTTTTCAGTCAAGGCTAGTATTCTACTACTTTGAGCCACAGCACCACTTCTGGTTTTCTAATAATTAATTGGATATGAGAGTTTCAAGGACTTTCCTGCCCTCGCTGGCTTTTGAAACACAATTCCTAGATCTTAGCCTTCTGAGTAGTTAGAATTACAGGTGTGAGCCACTAGTACCTGGCTGTCTTATAACTTTTTGATAATTTTTCTTAAGCTTCATAGTTTCACTCCAGATGTGTGAACATTGTTAGATGTGTTAGATTGTACATATTGTTATTTAGCTACAGACCTCAAGGTATCTATGTATACTTCTCAGGAACTGTTCTGTACTTGCATAGCTGTATCCAGTATTGGCCTCTCACCCCCAAATTCTGTCTTGGCCACTCCCTATTCTGATCTCCTCCCCATTCTAGCAAGATACCTGAATGCCTTTAATTTGTCCCTTCCTGTACCACAGACTTGTATTCACTTTCAGGAAGTTTGTACTGGGATAGCTAATTTCATTTGTTTCCCTTTTCTCAGAGATCATAATAGCATGTTTCCAATTTCTTATTGACAATTGCTTTCTAGGTGTTTATGGTAAGTAAATATCACCTCTTTCTCCCTTGTGGCCATTATTACAGATGTTCTCTTCAGACATTTTTAATGAGAAAGGAAGAGTTTTATAAAATGAGATTCTCCAAAGAAAATAGTAGGAACTTTTCTAATAATACTGTCTGATGTGGAGGGTCTAGGACCTGAAACACTCATGGCAGGAGCCTACCTGGAAAAAAAAAGGATGGAAAAACACAGGAATATTATGTGGAAACCTGCTTACAATGATCTTGGGCACCTTAGCCTACTGCCTTGTCCCATCTCCCCAAGTTAGCAATGTCCCTGCTGCTTGGTTGATGCTAGAAAGCCTCTGAATAAGGAAGCTACTCTTCCATCATCACTAATACATTATGAGAGATCAGCCCTGAGGTAGGAAAATATTGGCATCAGTGTAAAGCTGTGTAAATCTTGCCCTTTGCTAGGATTCATGAGAAAGCAAAGAGCCCTAGTAAAACCTGTGATCTTGTAGGGCTTTGGAAGGATCCTGTCTGCCAGGTAGCTAAGTTAAGCCTATCTAATTCTTCCCTTCTTTCCCGCTCTGCCTGCAGTTATGATCATGTGCCTTTCCTCATGCATGACCATGACCTGAGTAGAACAACCAATATCAAGGAGGTCATGCCAAATGCCACCTATAACCACTCTGCCTTCTTCAGTTGGCCTTTGCTGAGAACTCTGAATGCTGGCAAATGGTTTGTAGAGGTAAGACAGTCCCTGCACAGTGTCTGTACAGAGTCAGGTGCTGCTCCTGGAGATGATGGCCAGGTTGAAGCCAGACAGACAGGTATGTATACATTTCCATTCTAGTACTGTAGCATTGACAGGAGGGATTTTCTGGTAATTCAGTGAGTCTGATTGCTGCTTTCAGTGTTCTCTAGGAAGTCTCAAGATAGGCTTTTTTGCCAGCCCTGGGGCTTGAACTCAGGGCCTGGGCACTGTTCCTAAGCTTCAGTTTTGCTTGAGGCTAGCACTGTACCAGTTGAGCCACAGCACCATTTCTGGCTTTTTCTGTTTCTGTAGTACTGAGGAATGGAACCCAGGGTTTCATGCATGCTAGGAAAACACTCTTGCACTAAGCCACATTCCCAGCCTCTGAAGATAGGCTTTTAAACTTAACCTTATGCAATTTTTTTACACCCAAGTATATACTTCATATATACTTATATATTTATATATACTTATGTAATTATACATTTTATACTTATATATTTGTATGTATTTATGTATACTTTCATAGCTTTCCTACCATGTAATAGAATTATCCTGAGTTATTTTGAGTAGCTCACTAGCTTAGATAAGGCAGACTAAGAAACACTCTTGATTCCTTCTTACTATTCAATAAATATATATAGGGAGTAGCTGCTAGGTATTAAGCAAGTGTAATACAATGGAGAATAAACATTGCTTCAGCCTTGATGGAGTTCACCAGCCAGTATAAGAAACTATCTGAATTCATTGTGATAAATGACAAACTACAGTTAATTTCAGGTTGCATTAGGAGCATACAACAACAACTTCTAAGTCAATCTTAATAATAAGATGGAAGGAGATAGGTTAATTAAGACTATACTAAAATATTGTGTATTGTGTACACTGCAACTTCGAACCAAGAGTCCCCTTGAAGTTGGAGAAATACGTACTTCGTGTCTAGAGGTACCATTTTGCTGAAGTGTAATCATTAATAAGAGAATATGTGGACCCTGCTGGTGATGTATTTCAGAGAGGCATTATATGGTGAGGATAAAAAAAGATGAGGATGAGAACAAAAAGAGGAAGGGAGGGAAGGAAAAGAAGAGAAGGAAAGGGAAGAAGGGAGCAATGTTTATTCTCCATTGTATTACACTTGCTTAATACCTAGCAGCTACTCACTATATATATTTATTGAATAGTAAGAAGGAACCAAGAGTGTTTCTTAGTCTGCCTTATCTAAGCTAGTGGGCTACTCAAAATAACTCAGGATAATTCTATTACATGGTAGGAAAGCTATGCAAGTATATAAAATATATAACTATATAAGTATATATAAATACATACAAATATAAGTATAAAACGTGTAATTACATAAGTATATATAAATGTGAGTGTGTATATGCATGCACATATGTACGTCCATATGAAGAAAGAATAAAGAGAAAGAAGGAAAGGGTAGGGAATAGATTGGGAAAGTATCTGGAAAATGTGTTGAGGATAGATTACAGCATTGCTTAAAAAACAAGTTAGCAAGTTTGAGTAATTCCAAAGTGGGTAAAAAGTTTGTTTGCCTTCTCAGGATAAATAAAACAACTTGCATTTCCCAACTTACAGCTTAGGAATCTATGAGAACTAGGTTTGCCCAATGATATAATCAATTGAGAAGTACATTTTGAAAATAATAGACAGCATGATGTTAATCTTGAGGGTTTTTGGATTATGTTTTGTGTAAAAATTGTGAGAAGTGAAGATGAACTTATCTTTAGAGACTTCATTTCAGATTCATTCTGTTAGTGTTACTAAAAGAAAACCTGAAAGAGGATTTATAATAACCATAACGCCTCTGAATATTTGGCCTAATAGGAGTACATAGCCTAAAAATGCCGTGTGTGGAAACAATGAATGTGATTATTCTTATAACAGGTTCTATATATGTGTAGAGGATGTAATGTGTCTCATCATACATGAACACATAAAAGTATAAATACTCCAATAGCATGCCTATTTGGGTTTGGTCACCATAGTTATTGTTTTAGCAAATGTGTACTCTATATAAAAAGGCTGTTACATGTCCAGTATATAATAGGGTTTTTGCTCCTAACAGTCTTATTGGGATTTGTAAAAATTAAAGTTAATTCTAAGGTTGAAGCAGTTTCATCAGATCCAAGGTGCTTGATAAATGAGTAGCTGATAATTTTAATTAATGGGTGATTTTTTTTAATTGTTGGCTCCTATTGTAACTCAGAGGTCCTTTTTGTTGAAAAGACAGCAATAATCATCTTTCATATCAGTGGTCATAGGATTAATGGCATTTACTACTTACTATTCTTATTAACTATTATCCTTAATTTGGTTTCTGAACCTTTTCTTCAGAACTGCTTCCTTAGATTGGGGATGTAGCTCAGTGGTAGAGCACTTGCCTGGCATATCTGAGCCTGGATTCAATCCCCAGCACTACAAAAAACAACAACAAAAATTCCTGTTGGGAGGAAACATTTGGAAACATTTTCTGTTTTAATGTCTTTTTAAAGTCGATTTTATTTAAAAGTTCATATAAGTAGGTCAATTAGAATTTCAACCCTTTCTTTTGGGGGGGGGTTGTGGGGATAAGCTGGTCCTGGGGCTTGAATACAAGGCCTGGGTGCTGTCCCTGAGTTTTGTGCTCAAGGCTAGTCTTCTACCACTTGAGCCACAGCTCTACTTCCAACTTCTTGCTGGTTAGTTGAAGATAAGAGTCTCATGAATTTTCTTGCCCAGGCTGGCTTAGAACCCTGATTCTCAGATCTTAGCCTCACGAATAGCTAGGATTACAGGTGTGAGCCACTGGCACCAGAAACCTTTTTGTTTTGTTTTTAAACCACAAGAGACCAAAGTAACTAATACTTACTGCTGATTCTGTCTATGATATTGCCCCTTTCTAAAGCAGCAGTGCTGTCTCTAGAAAATGGAATTTCTTGGGGCTGGGAAGGTGACTCAGTGGTAGAGTGCTTGCCTCCCATGCATGAGGCCCTGGGTTTGATTCCTCAGCACCACATAAGCAGAAAAGGCCAGGAGTGGCGCTATGGCTCAAGTGGTAGAACGCTAGCCTTGAGCTGAAGAGCTGATGGGCAGTGCCCAGGCCCAGAGTTCAGCCCCTATGACCGACCAAAAATAAATTGTGAGATTGAATGTTACTGTGAAAAATTTTGGTGGATTTTTTTTTTGGTTGGTTGTGAGTGCTGGCTTTGAACCATGATCCTCAGATCTCAGCCTTCTGCATAGCTAGGATTACAGGCGTGAGCCACTGACACCTGGCTTTTGGTGGATATTTTTAGGCTTAATAGTGGGGCTTGCTTTGATCACATGCTGTGTCATCAGAATAGGTTGAAATAATGTTAGAGTGTGACTTAAAAGATTTGAAGATCTGGATACCTTTTTTTTCTCCTTCCTTCCTTCCTTCCTTCCTTCCTTCCTTCCTTCCTTCCTTCCTTTCTTTCTTTCTTTCTTTCTTTCTTTCCTCCTTCCTTCCTTCCTTCCTTCCTTTCTTTCTTTCTTTCTTTCTTTCTTTCTTTCTTTCTTTCTTTCTTTCTTTCTTTCTTTCTTTCTTTCTTTTTGCCAGTCCTGAGGCTTGGACTCAGTGCATAGGTACTATCCCTGAGCCTCTTTGTGCTCAAGGCTACCTCTCTACCACTTGAGCCACAGCTAACTTCTGGCTTTTTCTGAGTAGTTTATTAAAGAAAAGAGTCTCATAGACTTTCCCACCTGGACTGGTGTCTTCAAACTGTGATCCTCAGATCTCAGCCTCCTGAGTATTTAGGCTTACAGGCATGAGCCACCAGCGTCTGGCTTTTGTATACTTTTAAGGCAGTAAAGAATTTGTGAAGATGATTCTGATGATTCTTCAGTGTCTAGGTATGATTGTTTATTGACTAATTATGAATTGGTTATTACTTATTAATCCATTTATTGGTCTTGAGATTACTTAGGAAAACTGGGCTATGTACTAGTGGCTTCTGCCTGTAATCTTACTTACTTGGGAGGTGAGATTGGGTTGATCTAGGCATATATGCAAGACCCCTTCTCAACCAATAGTGGGTTGAGTGGCCTGTGTGTCATCTTAGCCATGTGGGAGGCTGAGATCAGGAGTAATGTGCTTCCAGGCCAGCTCAGACAGGGCAGTCTTAACTGAAGCAGCTGGATGTAGTGTGTGCTACAGTGGGAAGCAGAAATAGGATTGTACTCCAGACAGGTACCCAAGCAGGAAGCAAAACCCTATCTCAAAAATACTACTATTAAAGAAAAAGGGGCCTGGGAACATGGCTTAGTGGCATGCATAAAGCCCTGGGTTGGATTCCTCAGTATCACATAAACAGAAAAAGCCAGAAGTGATGCTGTGGCTCAAGTGGTAGAGTGCTAGCCTTGAGCACAGAGAGGCTCAGGGACAGAGTCCAGGCCCTGAGTTCAAGCCCCAAGACCAGCAAATAAATAAATACATTAAATTAATTATTTTTAAAATGGAGGGTTGGGCACTAATGGCTCATACCTATAATCCTAGCTATTCAGAAGTCTGAGATTTGAGTCCAATTCTTGCTCCTCAATTAACCGCAGAAAGACAGAAGAGGAGGAATAGCTCAAGCAGTAGATTGCCAGCATTGAATGAGTTAATTATAGTTTGTTTCCCAATCCAGTTTTTCCTTAATGTTTTCTATTTCAGAGTCTTATTCTAGTGAGCTGTACCTTCCTCTCAAGTCCTCGGTCTTGTGAGCAGTGGTTTGCCCTGTAGCCTCACCTTTTTACAGACCCAAGGAGAGTTGTTGATTTTTTTTAGTCTGTTCATCAATTTACTTAGTGTTTAGGAAGCAGTGGCATCTTCCAAGCTCATTACATATGAAACATGAAAGCAGAAGTCAATTTGATTATGTTTTGAATCAATATACTAATGTCTATGGTTGCTATAATTTAATAATGGGAAGTAGAATTTACTGAGCTTCTTAACATGATTTGTCCATGATCCATTTCTTCCAGCGGTTTGTTTTTCAAAAATAGATTCTTAACATTTAAATTTGCAAGGAAAATGCCATAAAGAAGAAAATAAATGTTCTTCGGACAATGATTTCAAAGTAATGGTTTTATGTTAAGACATGAAAAGGGATTTAGGGTTGCTTAACAATCTCTACTACCTACATGGCTTTGGTACTGTTAGTAATCAGATTGTTTTTATGGTAATGGGATTCATGGTAGATCCGTGGGACCCAAATTAACAAGAAAACTTATTAATCTTTACTAGTTTTTCTTAAAATGTTTCCTTGATGCAATATCATTGGACACATCTGAACATTGTCCTATTTTGTAACTATTATGATACATTGGCTCTTTTATTGTAGTCTTTATACTTGTAACAATTCATAGACATAAATAACAGGGCCTTTTAATATTATTTTTATTAAGGTACTGAGTATTTTTATCAGGAGAATCAGAAGTTTGTTTCCTTTTTATTTCCTAAGAGTTTTTGCAAATATCTGCCATGTGAAGGCAGATATCTCGTTCTGGTTAAGTTCCTTATTTTGTACACAAAAAAAGAGGCTCAGACTCCTTCAACTATTAGATCTATACCATAATATCATTTATCTTTATTGTTTTTGCTATTGTAAACATTTTTTACCTGTCTTGGTATTCTTTCCTGTCCTGTTTTTATTGTTTCTATGGAGTTTTTAAGTAGTGATGTTTGTTTTTTGTTTTGTGCCAGTACTGGGGCTTGAACTCAAGGTGTGGGCATTGGCTCTTAGCTTTTTTGCTCAGGGCTGGCACTCTACTACTTAAACTACAGCTCTTTTGCTGGTTAACTGAAGACAAAAGTCTCACATACTTTTCTGCCTGGACTGGCTTCAACCCATGATCCTCAGATCTCAGCCTCTTAAGTAGCTAGGATTTCAAGCCTAAGCCTATCCTATTGTTTTAACAGTTTTTCTTCACCATTAAATAAAACAGTCTGGATCTGATTGTATTTAAAAAAATATTGAAATCTGAATCAAGTATCTGTACTCTTGTGAATTGAGAATAATATCTTAAACTATGCTCAACACAGAGGTCTACACCATGGTTTAAGTCAGCTTGTATGTTCTGCCTTCTGGTCTGGTGATTTGATAAGTATACAGTGCAATATGATGGCACAGGATTGTACACAATCGTACTGTGTGAGAAAGGGCAGCTTGGGTAGGAAACTAAGGAATGCAAGAGGGATCTGAGAATGAAAATAAAGTTGAATCCAGAAATAAAAGGCTACTTGAGTCACAAGAAAATGTGAAGTACTGCTTCCTTTTCCTGAGAGGTCATGTTTAAATCACCGCCTTCAACCATACATTATCTGAAATTGGCAATTGAAAATGAGAATAGTTTGATTAATCTAATAGAGCAAACATACATATGGCCTGCTATGTATAAGGTAAACGGTCATGTATTGACAAGAATTTAGGACAGTGAAGGAATTAATATAAACTGTGTAATTTTCTGTGGATCATACATGCTACCAGACCCTGTAAATATATATCCCCATTTTTCAGTTTGGGCAGTAGGTAATTAAATGATTTTTACCAAAGATGCCCAGCAAGAAGCATATTGAGCCAGGATTTGAACTTTGGTCTATTTAAGACATGTGCATATAGCTATAGAATGAGACATACGCTTATCAAAGCATAAAAATGGGCCATCTGGGCTTATGTCATCATGCTCTTTTTAGTTCAGGAATATTTTAGGAAAGCTTCATGAAGGGGATAGCATTTGAGCAGGTTGAGGGTAGGATTTCAGTAGGCGGTTATGGAAAGGAAGGAAAATGAGGGAGAGGAAGAGCTGGGAATGAATCCAATTTGGAAGCCAAAGTACTTGTTCTTTCTATTACATAAAACATAGAATAAAGGAGCAGGATGACAGTGCAACTGAAAAGGGATGTACTACTTAAAGGTTTAGAACACAAGACTGGGAAGGAAGGTTAAGAGAAGAATGTGGAAAATCTCAGAGCAATGTTAGGAAATAGAATAAATCATTCCAAACATTATAATTACTAATGGAGAATATGTTTTATTTCTCTCCCAAGGAACTTATTTTAAAACTAATATTTCAGAGGGCCTAGTTGATATAGACAGAGAGAGAGCTGGATTTGGAACTAATACCCAAGAGTGAAACTAGATACTACTTTTGATGAGAACCAATGTTTTCTTTGATGTGTTTATTTTTAGAATATGCCCTATTACAATATGAAACCTCTGTCTGAGGAAGACAAAAGGAGAGCAAGAAATGAGACAATTCCAAAACTAGTTGATTTATTGGAACTTGCAAAGAAGGAAAGGAAGTTTTTGATATTTGATCTTTTTGGCCCTCCACCAACACATCCTCTCAGAAACGGATATATCCGCCATGTAGTAGATCTGATCCTCAAGTCTAAGATTGAGCAGCATCTGGTATGTCAACCTTTGTACTTATGGTAGATTGGGAGGTGGTTGCATGTCCCAGGACCATAATTGTTGACTTTGTGTGTGCCAGTGTTGTACAGGAAAGAACTCAACTGGCAAGAAACACAGTAGCCACATTTTGAGAGGTTGAATTGGGAGTTTTTATTAGAAAGCCCAGGAATGCTGGTGGACTCTTTTCTCAAAGACCTGCAGCCAAGAACTGAGCTTGTACAAAGCTTTTAAAGACAAAAAACACATGTTTTGGGTGCAGACCCAAAACCCAGCAAAGGCAGACCATATAGGGTAATATTCAGGTACAAGCAAAACTTTCCATCTAGGGAAGTAGCTGGGGGCTAGCTAAACTTCCCATATAGGGAAACAGAGTTGAGCTGGTAATCAAAGACAAACATTATCTGTAGCTAAAGCTTTCCTAGGGCTAAACAGCATGACATCTGCATATTCTCTGAAGCAGAGCTCTTGTTGCTCTCCTGAGGCTAAATAAGTGCAATTCAACAAAAGGCTCATTTCACCTTTAGGCTTTTGTTGGAGCAGGGTGAAAAGTCCCCCCTCCCCCACCCAGCAAAGCACCTGAATGGCTATGAAGACAAGTCATGTTACTTAGACCCTGTCTCCTTATTTCACTAGTCCTGGGGCTTGAACTCAAGAGCTTGGGTTCTGTCCCTGAACACAAAAGCTCAATGCTAGGGCTCTGCCATTTGAGCCATAGCTCCACTCCCAGAGTTTTGGGATTTGTGTTTTTTTTGTTGTTGTTGTTGTTGTTGTTTGGGGGGGGGTGAGGGGTTGGTGGTTAATTGGAGATAAGAATCTTACAGACTGGGGCTGGGAAGGTGGCTCAGTGGTAGAGCGCTTGCCTTGCATGCATGAGGCCCTGGGTTCAATTCCTCAGCACCACATAAGCAGAAAAAAAAAAGCCGGAAGCGGCACTGTGGCTCAAGTGGTACAGCTGCAGTCCTCAGATCTCAGCGTTGTGAGTAGCTAGGATTATAGGCATGAGCCACTGGAACATGGCTTAGTAGCTGAAATTTTATCTACATTGCACATCTTCCCTGCAACCCTTAAGGAATATTGCTTCCTATGAAGCTGGGGGTTATTGCATATATGGCTACATTTGGTAGCCATATTTCTCTCAGAGAAAAACATGGAGATGGGTTTTCTATTCCAAGCCAAGTAAAATATTAACACCTCATTAAAAAAAATGAATAAAATATCTATGTGACTCATACCATTATCCCCAGAGATCCTTTAGACTGAGTCTTTGTAATGCTAACTCTTTAAGGACTTTAGAAACTTATTTAGAAAAACAACTGATTGTTACTTGAATAGAGATTTGCTCATGATTATTTCTAGAGCATTATTATTCCTAGGCAGTCAGTTGTTTCCAAGCGCTTAAGTTCTCAGAATGTTATTGGAGTGCTGAGAGAAACAAACACATATCTTCTTGCAAATGGAACTATTTCCATAGAAGAATCCCATTAGCATTCCCATTGGAATTTCCATCTAAGATGATTTTTAGCACCATTAACCAGAGAGGGAATTTTTGGTCCTCACCTTTCATATGTGTCTACCAATTCCTTTTTCACTTATTTTTTTTGGTCAGTGTTAATGATTGAACCCAGAATCTTATGCACACCAGGCAAGTATTCTACCACTAGCTATCTCCCTAGCTCTCACATTTTCCTGAGCCACTGTCTGTACCCAGTGGGCCCAGAATGTTAATGTTAACTGAAGAATTGAGAAGGCTTAGAAAACTTAATCCCAGAGCACCCTTAATGAAGGCCCCCTTTTAAAAGTTCTTTAGACAGCCAAGCACCAGTGGCTCACGCCTGTAATCCTAGCTACTCAGGAGGCTGAGACCTGAGGATCACAGTTCAAAGGCAGCCCAAGCAGGAAAGTCCATGAGACTCTTATCTCCAATAAGAAATAGTGCTGTGGCTCAAGTGGTAGAGCGCTAGCCTTGATCTGAAGAGCTGAGGGACAGCGCCTAGGCCCAGAGTTCAAGCCCCACAACTGACAAAAAAAAAAAGTTCACTAGACAATATTGGGTCCGGTGGCTTCCTATAATCTGCAATGGAGCTTCATCCATTCCTAGACAGATAATATTTCACTAAAAGCTTTTTCTTTCTCCTTATAGATACTTTGGCTGCCAGTTTATGATAGAGAATATGTAAAACAGGTGGCTCCTGGTTTTCAGCAAGTGGGCCGTTTTCTGTCCGTTGAAAAACTTGCAGAAGAAAATATCAAGATGATAAATGTTGACTACAAGAAGTTATTCTACAATGGGTTGAGGTAGGAGTTTGAGCAGGAGTTTGAACATGTATCACTTCACCTTTACAAAGGATACACTCCACCTAGGCTGCTTCACTTCTCCTCTGTTTAGGGTTTCATTGTGTTTTATCTTCTCTGAAACCTCCACTTTCTCCTCCCTGCCCCCTGACATGTTTTTCTGCCCATAAACTTTTTATGAAGTATAGAATGCACCCCTGGGAGGCCCACTTTAACTCCTTTGTGTACCAATCACATTTTGTGTGTGTGTATGTGCATCTGTGCATGCATGCATATGCACACACTAGAAACGGGGCTAGAACTCACAACCTGGATGCTTTTTCACTCAAGCCTGGTATTCTACCATTTAAGCCACATCTCATCTTCCATGTTTTTGCTGGTTAAATTGAAATAAGAATCTCACAGACTTTATTGTCTAGAATCATCTGATCTCAGCCTGCTGAGTAACTAGGAAAACAGGCATGAACCACCAGCACCTGCAGGGCTTAACATACTTTTTCATATGCTTGGCATTTCTGTTTGTATATAAGATGGGCATAGAAGTAGCACTGTGGCTCAAAGGGATAAAGAGCTAGCCTTGAGAGAAAAAGTTAATGGATAGCACCCAGGCCCTGAGTTCAAGCCCCATGACGACAAAAAAAAAATGAACATTAAAAAAAATAAAAACTTTTGATGAAAGAAATTCTCTTAAAAAAGAAAATGCTTTATTTCCTCTTGCCATTCCCACATGGATTGCAGTATATCATAAATATTTGTGCTCCTGATAGGCATATTTCTTATAGAAAGAATTAAGACCATGTGTTAGGAAACTGAGTCATGAGTTTTAGGAAAGATCAAGCAGCTGAAAGGAGAGAAAGATGGCAGAGACCTCAGCAGACCAGAACATGCTTTAGTCATGGCTGCAGATGGGCTCCGTGTAATACCAAGCAGGGTCAGAGAGCAAAGAGCAGGAGTGTAGGGAGTGTTAGGTTTTGATACATCCTAGGGTGAGACTCTTCTTTGGAATTTCTTTGTCCTGTCCTGTTGGGGATTTATTGTCCAACCTGTCCCGCTTGGCAAGTTTTATGGTGGGAGTATCCTTCTGATGACAGCAGTCCTGCACCTTCAGATAGGGTCAGGGGTAAAGTTTTCCTGAGAACCAGGAGGGGTCCCCAGGGGAAGGAAAGTGGTCCATGGGCCATGGGAGCAGCGTGGAGTTAGAAGAACAAAGCAGACTCCCATCACCATGAACAATTATTTTTTGAAACTTAATAGCCAAGCAATGAGAAGCAACTAAATTATTAACCTCTACATTTATAAATATACAATTTGAGATAGATTTTCAGAATTAAAAGCACGTTCTAAGTCATGGGGCTCGAATTCTGGGCCTGGGCTCTGTCCCTCAGATCTTCAGCTCAAGGCTAGCACTCTACCACTTGAGCCACAGCGCCACTTCCAAAATAGATATTTTATCTATTTCCCAATGAGAACACTTCAGGTCTTTTTTTTTTTTTTTAGCATGTTTCTATTTCCTTTTACTTAAAATTGAAACACCTCTTAAGATTATTTCTCTCTCTTAATGCTAACTTAGGTTGATCTAATAGGCTAAGTTAAAAAAATAAGTAGAATAAATGGGTTCCATTTATTAAATACTATGCTTGTTAAACTGCAAGTTGTGTTTTAAACCCTGGTTTATACTATGACTTTGGGCATATCTATTCTTGATTGCTGTTGTTGTTGTTTTGTTTTGTATTTCGGACAGTCTCACTGTAGTTTCACTGAGCCTGTATATATATAATTTATAATTCTCCTGCTTCAGTCTCTTGAATACTAGGATTACAGGCATATACCACCACACTTTGTTTTAACGTTAGTAAAATTTTTGATGGTCAGTTCCTCCTCTGTAAGTGGATATATCAATGGTACCCACTGGAATAATCAAAGAGTGTCAGTCATGATGTAGACAGTAAAATGCTGGGCAAATATATGACAGAAAGTGTTAGCTTCCCCTTCTATCATCATCCTATGTTGTGGAGTGGATTTATTACTTCTCTTTTCAGAGTGGAAGTCATTTACCAAAGTTAGTTACAACTGGTGAGTGGTGGGCCTGGGATTTAAGTACAGGTCTAACTGACTAAAGTCCAGATTTTTTCACCACTACACTTTTATTCCTTGGCCATTCAGTTTCAACTGCCATAAGATTTTCTGAGACCTGTTATAAAAGCAAGCAGGTTGGTTTAGCTCAGCAAATATTTACTTAGTCAAAAGGTGTACAGTGTTCCATGCTTGTTTCATGTGAAAGATCCACAGAAGTAAGATACCCTTCTTCTCCCCAAGGAAGGCATTATATATCAGTTTTTTTGGGGGGAGGGTCCAGTAGTGGGGCCTGAACTCTGGGCTTGGGCGCTGTCCCTCAGCTCTTCAGCTCAAGGCTAGCACTCTACCACTTGAGCCACAGCGCCACTTCCGGCTTTTTTCTTTTTGCTTATGTGATGCTGAGGAATCAAACCCAGGGCCTCATGCATGCAAGGCAAGCACTGTACCACTGAGCCACCTTCCCAGTCCAATATATATCAGTTTTTTTAATGGGCTTTTTCCATATACTGTACTATAAAATCAAGTACGATAAGTACATGAGCAGGATTTTGTTCAAAATGATTTTCTTTGAGGAGCTCTAAATTTTAAGAAAGTAATCAGTTAAACATTTGTGAAATGCTTATGACCAGAACATTTGTGGTCCAGGATCACAGACACAAGATATTGTGAATGTGTCATTTTCACCAAGAACTCTTTACATGCCTTATTTTAGTTAAGACTATTTGAACATAGAGATATACTCTCTTTTAGATTTTGATGTTAGAAATGCTTTCATGTTTTGTTAGACAGGGTTTCATTAGATAGCCCAAACTGACCTCAAACTTGCCATTCTCCTGTGTCTGCTTCTTGATGCTGGGATTGTAGCTATTTTAGTGTTAGGGGAAAAAAAATTAAGCACAATTGTACACATTTATGGGATACAATATGATGTTTTGATATGCATATAGAATATGGAATACTTAAATTAGTAACTGTTACTTCACTTACAATTTTTTGTGAGACTTGCAATTTACTCCCTTATCTCTTTTGAATTTGAAGTATATTATTATGGTCATAGTTGTCCTGTTGTTCAGCAAATCTCAAAAACATATTCCTCCTATCTAATTGAAACTAGGTGACCTTAATATCTCTCCCTTTTCTTACCCCAGCCTCTAAAAATCAGCATCCTATAAACTGCTATGAATTTTTTTTGTACCTGTCCTGAGCCTTGAACTCTAAGCTTTTTTGCTCAAGTGTAAAGTGCTCTACCACTTAGGCCACAGATCTACTTCTGGCTTTTTGGTGATTAAATTTAGGTAAGTCTCATGGATTTTCCTGAGTAGCTAGGCATGAGCCTGTGACTTTTAAAGATTCCAAAATTAAGAGTACACAGTATTTGTCTTTTTTGGCTTATTTTATATAGGCTCGTCCATATTGTTGCAAATGACTGACCTTCCTTCTTTTTAAAGACAGAACAGTGTTTGTTCCATATACATATGGTATATACATACAATATACATATACATGGTATATACATACATTTCACACATATGCATTTATATGCAAAACATTCTATCTTTTCTTAATCTACTCATTATTGGTGGACACTTGAATTGATTCCATAGCTTGGCTATGCTGCAGTAAATGTGGAAATGCAGATAGCCCTTGGACATAGCAATTTCATTTCCTTCAGATATATAGCCAGAAGTGAAAGTGACACATCATATGGCAATCCTCCTTTTTAGGTTTGGAGTGTTTTGGGGGGGAACCTCCACCCTGTTTTCTATAATGGTTATACTAATCCACATTCCTATCAACAGTGTACAGAGACAGGAAGATCACAAGTCACAGCCCAAGCAAAGATAGTGAGATCCTCCTAAAAAACAGAATACAAACTGAAGGTTTGGGGCATGGGTCAAGAGGTAGTCTAGCATGTCTGAGGTTCAAGGGGCCTGAACTCTGAGCCTGGGCGCTGGCCCTCAGCTCTTCAGCTCAAAGCTAGCTCTCTACCACTTGAGCCACAGCGCCACTTCTGGGTCTTTCTGCTTATGTGGTACTGAGGAATGAAACCCAGGGCCTCATGCATGCAAGGCACGTACTGTACCACTGAGCCACCTTCCCAGACCCAAGGTTCAATTTTTTTAATTGAGAATAACTCCCTTCAAATTCTTCCAAGTTGTTTCATTTATCAATAGTTGTCCCTTTTTGTTGCTAAGTATATCATATCTATGATGTGGATATATACTAATAGTTGTTTAATCATTCACCAACTTAAGGGAATCTAATTGTTTCCATTTATGAGATATAATAGATAAAGCCATTATGAGCATTTGTTTTAATGAGAAAATAAGGTTTTCTTCCTCTAGGATAAATGTCCAAAAGAACATTTGCTATAATACTTTCATTACATGTATTTAGTTTTATAAGAGGCTGACATGTTTTCAGAGAAGCTATAGCATTTTACATTTCTGTCAGCAATATACAAGGATCTAGAGTTTCTTCATCTTTGCCAATATCTAGCATTGCCCTGTGTTTTATTTTAGTTTTTCTGAAAGGCATATAATGACATAATTATCAGTAGTTTTTTAAATTCTCTAATGGTTAATGATATTAAACATCTTATGTACTGGTTTGCTCATGGTATATACCTTTCATTGAAATGTGTTGTTGAATTTTGTGAATTCTTTTTTTTTTTTTTTGTCGGTTGTGGGGCTTGAACTCTGGGCTTGGGCGCTGTCCCTCAGCTCTTCAGCTCAAGGTGAGCGCTCTACTGTTTGAGCCACAGCGCCACTTCCAGTTTTCTAATGGTTTATTGGAGATAAGAGTCTCACGGAGTTTCCTGCCCAGGCTGGCTTTGAACTGTGATCCTCAGATCTCAGCCTCCTGAGTAGCTAGGATTACAGGCGTGAGCTACCAGCACCCAGCAGTGAATTCTTTATATATTCTCTATACTAGTCAATTTCTTCTTGTCTGCAACTTATCTATAGCATCTTCTTACTTAATAGTTTTCTCCTTGATCATGCTTTTAAAAAGTTTAAATCTAAAAATTTGTTTAGTCCTAGATCTCAATTTTTTTCTAAAATTTTTGTTTTTAAACTATGCATTCAAGTCTGTGATCAGTTTTGAGTTCATTTTCATATATAGTGTGAGTTTAGGTTGCGATTTCGATCAAGATTCTTAATTTTGGGGGGAGGTACTATGGCTCTCCAGTTTTCAGTACCATATACTGAAAAAAAGAACCTATTCTCTCAGATTCATTTTACACCTCTGTCAAGCATTACTTGGGCATATGTGTGTAGGGTATTTCTGGGGTCCTCTTCTGTTCCATTGGTTTATGTTTCTATCCCTCTGATGTTACACTGTCTTGATTTCCATATTTCTACAGTAAACTACAATATCAAGTAGAGTAAATGACTTCTTTTCACTTTATTCTTTGACAAGATTTAATTTTTCAGCGACTGTACTTTCCATATATAGTTTATAGATTTTGCTGACCTAACTCTATAGAAAACCTTGCTGGTGCTTTCATAGATCTTTCACTAAGCTCCCAGATCAACATGGGGACAATCTTTGCTGCATTGAGTTTTCAGTCTATGAACACATATTCTCCATTTATTTAAGTCTTCTTTGGTTACTTCTGTCAGTATTTTGTCATTTTAAGTTTATAAGCCTATACTTGGCTTCCTGAAATTCATATTAGCAACATCTTAGGGAGATTGCATTGTGATACTTCCACACACGTACTTTCTCCTCTCAATACCCTCCATTGTTCTCATAAATTTATGCCTAAGCATTTATTTTCTTTGAAGTAATTGTTGGCTGTATTGTTTTTCATTTCAGTTTCTATATATTCCTTCTTAATATGTAGAAAGACGGTTGGTTATTTGAGTTTGGGATTTAAAGTAGGTAGCCAATGTAGGCTTGCCCTTTCAGCAAGTCTCAGCTGCTCTGGCATCTGGTTGTGTCACAGTCCCCTTCACCAGCTGGTCTGTGCCAGGGTGAACAAATATCTTGGTCTCCCTGGGCCTTCAGGAAAAGAGGGGATGTTCTTTCCATCACCCAGGGTTCCCAGGAAGAGAAGAGGATGTCACTCCCATTGGGTCACTTTTTCCCTGCCTGCCTAATCTTCGCCCTTTGCTTCTCCCTTAATAAGATCTGCAGCCTCCAGTAATTGAGGCAAGCCATTCATAGACATGGCTGCTCTCCTTGTAGATATTTAGAGTCATACTGGTTCTAAATGCTCTGTGGATTCTGTTTCTGTTCCAGAGAATATAAAGCAGCTAATATTAACATCAACTTATACATCATCAATGAGCCATGGCTTTTCTCACTGGCGTGGTGCTCCAAGATCAACTCAGTGACCACAGACAACATTCCACTCCTGAGTCAGATGAGTTACCCCTACTTCTTCATGGTAAGCTGCTTGTCTAGATCCTTCTTCCCCACCGGGTACAATGATGGTCAGTGCCCTACAGTGTTATATTTCCTTCTGTGCAGTCTCCTGGGGAGCTCCTTACAAGAAGGGTCACCTGCGAGTACTGGAGAGGTGATATTTCTATGGTTCTATCTAGATCCTCTCGTGGTTTTCATTCTTTGAGTCCTTGCAATGTGCTTCACATACAGTAGTTATGTATGTGTGTAAGTATGAACTGGCCATAATTATTGCAATCCCCAGGAGGAAACCAAAGTTCAAAGATGGCCCTGGCAACCTGGTTTCATGCTGTGAGATTCAAAATGGAGTCTAATCCCAGAGTTTTGTTATTTCAGCCACAACTCCTTAGAACTAATGGCAGCAGTAGACAGCGAGCATCATGGGCTCTGGGTAGAAGATCAGGCATATATGACTCTTTGGTAAAAACTATCTCCTGAACAAAATGCTCTTGGAGAGGTGAACAAGTGTCTGTCTGCCTAGCCTGGTTTCCTTTTCTAACCCTTCTGTTCTTCACTACCAAAGACCTGGAGGCCTGAACACCTAGCACCTGGCACCTGGCTTATAGTCCTACCCTAATTCTACCATCTACTGCCTGTGGAGAGAGTTTGGGCCACCCAGGTACTGCAACAAAGTCTGGGTTTATCTGGCTAGACAGCAGATTGACTGGGACAAACTTTCATATAACAGAAAGAGTTTTTTAAATTGGTTTTCAAGATAGAATCTCACCTGTGTTTCCCGAGTTGGCTTCAAATTCCTTGGCTCAAATGATCCTCCTACCTTAGCCTCCCAAGAAGCTATGACTAAAGGCATATGCTACTGCGGTCAGCTAAAAAAACAGTTTAACTTTGTTCCTTTGAAAGCTTTAGGCAGAAAAGCCTTCTTGGGGCAGGGTCTTACATGACCATTTCTATACCTCCACCTTCATTGATTTTTTGTTTCTTTTCTTTCCTCCCTTTTTTTTCTGTGCTGGTCTGGTGGGATTAAATTCAGAGCCCTACACTCTCCCTTAGCTTTTTTTTTTTTTTTGCCGGTCATGGGGCCTGAACTCTGGGCCTGGGTGCTGTCCCTCAGCTCTTCAGTTCAAGGCTAGCGCTCTACCACTGGAGCCACAGCACCACTTCCGGCTTTTTCTGTTTATGTGGTGCTGAGGAATCGAACCCAGGGCCTCATGCTTGCAAGGCAAGCACTCTACCGCTGAGCTATCTTCCCAGCCCCTCCCTTAGCTTTTTCACTCACCCCTCTACTTCCAGCATTTTGCTGGTTAATTGGAGACAAGAGTCTTAGAGATTTTCTGTCTGGGCTGGCTTTGAACCTGGATTCTTAGATCTCCGCCTCCTGAATAGCTAGAATTACAGGCATGAGCCACTAGTTCCCAGCTGGTCCTGTTTCTGACCTGTTCAGGGTCTAGACTAGGAGACAGGACAGCATCGAGGGCATGGTATCATAGGCCAGTACTGTATTAGGACTCTAATGAAGATGAGGACTTGCCGGCCATTCTTTCCCTGGTGACTTTCTAGAAGTACAATGAAGGGAACCTTGGGTGGCAGTTCCCTCAGCACAGCTGAACAGTGTTAGGCCCCCCCATCTTCTCCCATTTCCCCCTCCCTGACACCCCAACCCCCAACTTGTAAAGATCATTTCCAACAATGTGTCTAGTGAGTATCACTGTTATAGTGGTTCACTGTCTGTCCCACCATTTCTATGGTTCCTCTTCCCTTCCCCAGATCAATGTATATACAAGACAGAAATAAAAAAAAACAGTGACATCAGAGAATAAACCAACGGAACAAAAAATATAAAGAAGTAACTAGTATATGTCTGAGACAAGCAGAAAAGGTCAGATAAGTCGATGTTAGGGGAAATGAACCCCAAGATAAGGACTCAAATGTTTTTTCTTTCATGTGATTGTTTCTAACATATTTATAAGATGATTTCTTTGTTGCTTTGTATGTCCCTCCCCCACGGTATAACCCCTGCTCTCACTGTATTTGATGTTGCTATAATTTGTGGAGGGGAAGGGAAAAAAACAGATCGTTTAAATAGGAATACAGGTGGACCCATTGCAAGTCATTATGTTGAAAAACGAACTTTACAACTTCGGCGGTGGCGGGGAGGGAAAGGAGCGGGGGGAGGATGGGAAGGGATGGGAAAGGGAAACAAAGGAGGAGGCAACAATGCTTGATAAGAAATGTACTCATTATCTTGCCCATGTAATTGTAACTCCTCTGTACAGTATTTTCACAAGAAAAATTAAAAAATTAAAAAAAAATTAAAAAAGAAGTAACTGCAAACAGTACACACAAAAGCAAACCAAAAAATCCCTCGTTTCCATTTCCTGGAGATCATTTTGATAAGTATCTTTTTATGTAGTTATATATATATTGCTATTGAGCTATTGTGAACTCCTGCTAAGAATATCCTAGACATATTCTAGTTATTATGAATGAGGGAAACAATGCATCCTGTTTTTTTGGGTCTGGCTTGCCTCATTTAATATAATTTTTTCCAAGTCTTTCCATTTCCTTACAAATGGGGCAATGCCATTCTTTCTGATGGAAGCATAGAATTCCATCAGGTATATATACCTGTATAATTTAGAAAGCAGTACACCCTCTGAATTCGTATCTCCCTGAATTAGTAATGGCTCAAAGTTGTCCATTTGGGAAGTGTGTTTTTACTTAAATGATGCTGAAGCATTTTTCCCCTGAACTGATAATAAATTAATGTGACTCAAATCTCAAAAAAGTAGAAAAAAGGCTGGGAATATAGCTTAGTGGTAGAGTGATTGCCCACCATGCATGAAGCCCTGGCACTATGGCTCAAGTGGTAGAGCACTAATCTTAAGCAAAAGAAGCTCAAGACATAGGCTCTGAATTCAAGCCCTAGAACTGGCATTAAAAAGAGAGAAAAAAAGAGGTATTTTTTCATCCTTTCTCCTCAAGCTTGTGTTTATCTCTTTCAGTGAGATGTTTCTTATAGCAAGAAATTTAAATAATAGGATCTTATTTTTCTGAAGTTGCCATTCTATGTCTTTTGACTGGAGAATTAATAAGCCTGTTTACCGTATTTCCTATTATTTTGTTGTTTTTTTGTTATTCTCCTTTCCTCTTCTTGCTTTGCTAATCTACTCTTACAGTAAATGCATTATTTCCTTTATTTTTCCATTTTGGTTTTTCTTCCATGAAGATTCCCTTAAGTATTATCTACAGTACTAGTTTAGAAGGAGTGAATCCCTTTAGCTTTGTTTATCCTGGAAGGTTTTATTTCTCCATTAGTTATGGAGGATGGCTTCTCTAAGTACAGTATCCAAATTAGCAATTGTCTTCAGACTTGAATTATGTCTTTCCATACCCTCCTTGCATTTAAGTGTATCAATAAATTTGCTGTTATTCTAATGAGCTTACTATTTTAACTTGACTCCTCTCTTTTTTAATTCTATATAGCATTATTTTTTGGGGGGGGGAATCCGGTCATGGGGCCTGAACTCTGGGACTGGGCGCTGTCCCTCAGCTCTTCAGCTAGCACTCTACCACTTGAGCCACAGCGCCACTTCTGGCTTTTTTTTTTCCTGCTTATGTGGTGCTGAGGAATTGAACCCAGGGCCTCATGCATGCAAGGCAAGTGCTCTACCACTGAGCCACCTTCCCAGCCCCACCTATATAGTATTTTTATTATAATGTGTCTAGAGTTGTTTCTTCTCTGACTATGCCTATTTGGAGGTCTATGTCTCCATCATACAGATTACTGTCTCTTTCTTAATGCCTGAGTACCTTGTTTTTCAATATATTTGTTTTAATTTCTCTGCTTTGTCTTCAATCTCTGATACTGTTTTCAACTTCATCCATTCTATTAGGCTTTTGGTTTAGTCTTTTATTTGGGCAGTTGAACTCTTAATTTTAAGGAGTTTAGTTTTATTTTTTTACAAGGTTTCCATCTTTTTATTGAATTTCTCATATCCTACACCTTCATTTGTTTGTTCATTCATTCAGCTGTTTGTGTTTTCTTGTTATTATCAGTTCGATTTCTCTTATTTTTGTTTGAATCCTCTTAGAATTCCTCATTTTAAAAATACCTGTTTCTCAGGGCTGGGAAGGTGGCTCAGTGGTAGAGTGTTTGCCTTGTATGCATGAGGCCCTGGGTTCGATTCCTCAGCATCATATAAGAAAAAAGAAAAAGCCAGAAGTGGCACTGTGGCTCAAGTGGTAGAGCCCTAGCCTTGAGCTGCAGAGCTGAGGGACAGTGCCCAGCCGAGAGTTCAGGCCCCACGACTGGACCCTCCCCCCCAAAAATAAAAATACCTGTTTCTCTATTATATTTATGTTTTTTACTATTGTTTTATTGAGCTCATTGGGATTTCTTCATTTTCACTTTCACTTAAATCCTTTATTGTGGTATTATTGGTTTTTTTGTTGGTGGTGGTGGTTGTGGTGATAAGGACTGAATTCAGGGCCTGAATACTGTCCCTGAGTACTTTTGCTTAAGGCTAAGGCTCTATCACGTTGAGCCACAGTGTCACTTTCAGTTTTTGAGTGGTTAATTGAAGATAAGAGTCCCCTTGTTTTTTTGGCCTGGGCTGGCGTTGAACCATGATTATCAGATCTCAGCCTCATGAGTAGCTAGGATTATAGGTGAGAGCCACCTATATACCAGCGCCTGGCTGGTGTATTTATGTATTTGGTTACATAGGTAAAAAAAGGAGTGGCAGGTAAGTTTTATGGAGAGGAAAATGGATAGTAGAGTGAGATAAGTAAAAAAGAAATTAATGACTTTTTGTTTTTGTTTAGGGAATGGGAAGTTGAAGTGAGGGGAAGTTAGTACACTCACATGCATAGATTTTTTTTTTTTAAGACAACACCAATGACCAAGAAGGAGAAAAGAACTTGGGTGCCAGTTGACTATACCTATAATCCTAGTTACTCAGGAGGTTGAGATCCAAGGATCACAGTTCAAAACTGCATTGACTGAGCAGGAAAGTCTGTGAGGCTTTTATCTCCAATTAACCATCAAAAGGCCAGAATGGAACTGTGGATCAAGTGGTAGAGCACTAGCTATGAACAAAAAAAGCTAACAGACAGTACCTAGTCCCTGACTTCAAGCTCCAGTGCCAACATATGTGTGCATACATACATGCACACATGCATGCACACACACACATACAAAGAAAACCAAACAAAAACCAAAAATAGAAATTAAAATACAAAAAAGTTTTTTTAAGTAATCTAGTTAGCAGGTGTGAGTCTAGGTAAAGAGGAAGAATTAAGCATGGAGAAAGAAGGGGAAGTGTTCCACTTGTAGATATACAGAGAAGGTATAAACGGGAAGAATTTCAAGAATAATCATTTCAGATAAAATGAAGGGAGAAAAGCAAAATACAAGACTAAATGAGAGGTGGTAATAGGTACAGGTAGTAAAGTGGCCTTTATCTGATTTATAGAAAAAAAAAGCATACAGTTTAACAATACTCAGTTGAACCAAAAGAGGAACAAAGACAGACTTACATACAACAAATATGAATTCTTGATTGTTCTTGAATATCATATGTATATTTACGTATAGACTTTTCTGCAGATTCTAAGAGGCCGAGTATGAGGGCTTTGCATCCCTCAGAAGACCTTTCATGAAGGAAAGGCCTTTAGAGTTCAAGCTGATGGCTGATGCCTCTATTATTTGGCACAGCAGGTAATCCAAAGATTGCTTACCTGCTTGGCATGGCACAGCTACCTCCATCCAGTGGTAGGCTGTGATGAGTTTTTTCTTTTGTTTTTTGAGATGCAATAGTTTGGGGGTAGATTCCATGCATGCACTGGGTTTTTGGAGGTCCAGAGCTCTTTCCACATTAGTTCGTACAGCCACTGCCTGGATGCCCCTGTTCTCTGATGTGGTGGGAATTCCCAATCCTCCATCTCCACACACTGTTGCCACGATTCTGCACCCTCTGACCTCCTCCTGCAGTCTGGCTTCCTACAGCTTAAAATGTGTTGCTGCTTCCTGCCTGTCATTTTCCCCTCCTTTCACGCACCTCTTGTACCTGATTTTTACCCAAGTTCTATGGCCAAGGTGTCTGTTGGGTTCAGCTGTGATTACTTCTTGACCCTGGGCTCCCAGAGAAACTTTCTCAAGAGGGTGACTCTGTTGCTCTATGGAATAGGGGGACACAGAATATCTTTTATTTCCCAAAGTGCAGTCTCTCACAGCAGATTAGTCCCTGCCTCCCAAGTCCCTTCACTGGTGGTAAGGCTGGCAGTTTCCCACAGCTGTGTTTGACAAGCTCTTGGTGAGACTGATTTTACCTGTTGTGGTCTTCAGTTCCTCTGTCCCCAGCCAGGGAAGCCAGGTGCTAACTGCAAACTCCTTCCCATTTCCCCCCCTGCTTTTCTTGTGCCATGATTGCTTTCTGTGTAATTTCCTGGGTCCTGGAGAACTCTTTGTAGGTTCTCCTTTCTTCTCCTCTTTCCCTGAATCTGGTCACGTCTGTGTAGCCAGCTTCTTCTCATTCACAGAGTGAAAATGGTAGATGCTTTCAAGTAGCCATCTTGCTTGGCCTCTCACTTTGTGTTTTGTAGACACCAGGATACTACATGGGCATATGGCTTCTCGTGGATTTTACTTCTGCAGTTATCATTACCGCCATATTTTGTTTCCACTGGTAAGTCGATATAATTTTAAAGGAATGTTCCCAAATAAATAGGTTCCTACAGAGTTCTGAGGGGGGAAAATGCATTTTTCCTGTAATTCCATGTGGCAAGACTGGCTTAAGGGAAAACTCTTTGTTTCTTCTTATGCTGCCTGCATTGCCTCACAGCCCTTCCCAAGCCCTTCCCAAGAGAGGTCAACGCTTTCAGGACAAGGACTCTCACTAAAGCACAATCAAGTGTGTTACTTTCAATTCAAGATGGAGCCAATAGAAGAAGACAAGGTTGACGAGTTTCCAAAATAGACACCTCCCCTCCCCTGCCTACCATGAATGGACAGAGCAGGGTTTTGTGCAAAGAAGCAGATTCAAAAACCAGGAAGACTGTTTTTTTTTGTTGTTGTTTTGTTTTGTTTTTTTGCTGGTCTTGGGGCTTGAACTCAGGGCCTGAGTGCTGTCCCTGAGCTTTTTCACTCTAGCTCTACTTCAGGGTTTCTGGTTGGTTAATTGGAGATGAGTCTCACAGACTTTCCTGCCCATGCTAACGATCCTCAGATCTCAACCTCCTGAGTAGTGAGCCACCAGCACCCGGCCACCCCTAGACTTTTATTAGTTGAAATGGGGTCTTGCTAAGTCTTTGCCCAGGCTGGCCTTCAACATCACTTCTCCCAATCTCAACCTTCTGAGTAGTTACAATTACAGGATGTGCCACCACACCCGACTTCATATTCTTTTTATCTGTCCAAGAAAATGTTTGAGAATCCTTGCAGAGCAAATGCTACAGGATTGTTTAGATTTAAGGTGGAAGAGGGATGGAACATCCTAGAAAAAAGCCATGTTAGAACACCATGCTTCCTTAGACCCCATCATTTCTTGATTTACAACTGATCCTCTAAAGGGGATCAAGGCCAAACTCAGCTTCAAGTGAGAATCTGACTGAATAATGTTTTGCTTCTGTCCTCTGCCTGGGATTACTACCTTTTTGCAAAGAGGCTCATGAGTTTATGGATGGTCTGCTTCCTTTCAGGTGGAGAGAAGCTGAAAAGGAAAAAATGCGGGAAGTCTGCAATGCCTCAGGTAAAGTCCAAGGCCTTGCTTGCTCCTCCCTCTCGTCCCCCTACCCATTGCTTCCCAGAGCCCTGGTCTGTTTTTCTCCTGAAGGTGTACGGGGAAGACAGGGGACATGGGAGCCAGGGAGAAGTCAGGAAGTCTAGTCAGTCCACTCTTTATCTATAGGCTTCCAGCTAAGAAGTCAATCAAGTGCTGGTAGAAAATACTGAAATAGAAGTTAGGTGATTGCTGATACGTACTATATAGCTCAGCATGTGGCCTGATACTGTGAAGAGTATGGACTTTTCCTGGTCAGTGGGGCTGCTCTATTTAACACTTAAGTGCTTTCTCTCAGAAAACAATGCTATTGGAGAAATGCCTTCTTTCTTGATTTTATTGTGTGAACATCAAATATACTTAGCACAAACCTAGATGATATATAGTCTGTGAATGTGTGGTATATATGTACACCATATAGAATAGGAGAGAGAAGAGAGAATGAGAGAGAGAGCTTCTTAGGTCATAATGAACAGAAAACATGATAGCAAACTAACCACAAGAAAACAATGCAATCAGACTTAGCCCAAGATGTATAGACTGTTGCTTGCATGACACAGCATTGTTTTATAATAAAGTTTTATAATTAGGAATACATTGTAAAATAATGATAAAAAGTATATACATTGTAAAATAATGATAAAAAGTATATAGCATAATCAATATATAAGCCAATAACATTGATGTGTAATTATCAGCATTATGTCCTGTTCATGGTTGTACTACCAGCCATACAGTAGAGGTTTTTTGTTTGTTTTTTATACTAGATCACTCCAGATCTGGAATGTGTTGTGACATCATGGTAGCTACAATGTCACTGATAGGAATTTTTCAGCTCTATTATGATCCTATGGGTGATAGACTCAAACACTGTTTTGTGGCATGTGACTGTTTCCTAAACAATGTGGCATAACTATTACTTAGCTTGTATATAGTATTTGATATTATAAGTAATTACTTAGCTTGTATATAATATTTGATATTATAAGTAATCTAGAGATGATTTAAAGTATAAAAGAGGATATGTGTAGGTTATATTTTATTTAAGCAGTACTGGGATTTGAACTCATGCTTGCGAGGCAAGTGTTCTACCAGTGACTACATCCCTAGCTATGTCTTTGAGCCTCTGAGTCCTAGAACCAGTCCCCTGCTAATAACATGGAATGATTAAATGGACCAGTTTATATCCTAGATGACCTTTAACATCAGACTTCAGATTTTGTCAAAACCATGAGATCATTGGGAAGATTTTAAGCACAGATATTTGTTTACTTCTTTGTATATTATTCACACATCACACATTGAGTACCTACTTTTTGCCAGACACTCCAAAAGGTTGCAGAGAATTGAAATCTGTCTGTGGAGAGTGAGTCCCAGGAGAGAGGAGGGCTTGGCCAACAAAGACCAGTGAGGAAAGCAGGCAGTAGTGGTAGTTGGTCACTGAGCTGGCACCCACGTCCAGGACAGAGTAGCTCTACCGTGTGCCAACAGGGCTGTAAATGGTCCATAGGGTTCAGCTATGTTTGATATGTGTTAGAAGATGGAGAAAGAAAACTGCTGAGGGCTTGGAATTCTAGGATAGAGTCTAGTCTCTATCTATAGGCAATAAAGAGGTGAAAATTTTCAAACAAGGGAAATGGCAAGGGCTGGAAATGTTTATTCAGCAAAACATCTCAAGGGCTGAGGAAATGCAATAGGCCCAGCAAGGGGAGGAGAAACTAGAGCTTCTCAGAGGACTGTGGTATTATGGCTTAGAGAATTATGGAGATGGTCATAGAGAATTACTAGTTAGGGAAGCTAGTACAGTCCCAAAAGGAAAACCAGTTAAGCAGAAGTCTGTGGAAGTCTGTGGAGTATGGGTTATCATTTCTTTCATAGTTCCTAGAGCTTTTTTACTAAAATTACTGCACAAAAGTATTAGGTGATTCCAATTCTTGTAGACAGTGAAAATTCCAAGATTCCATGAACCAGCTCTTGATACGCATTTAAGGCTGCAGGAATGGATCCACAGGACCATGAAAATTTTTTTTCTTTTTAAATTTGTTGCGAAGTTGAAGTTTTTAAGTCATATTCCTTTAAGTAGCAAAGAAATCTCAACTCTTGGTTTGATAGATTTTAAGGTCATCCCATTTATTGTCTTTGTTCAAGTATTTCAGCTACTTAATGATTGTTCTTATACTGGTAAGTATAAATGAGTGCCAGAGATTGGACGGGAGTGAACCACAGAAATTTATGTTCTTGTCATTTTGGCATCTGGAAGTCTAAAATCAAGGCACTGGCAAATTTGGTTCCTGGTGAGAACTTTCTAATCTCTATCTAGACAACTGCCTTCCCACTACAACCTTATAACCTTTCTTCAGAGTTTACATAGCAAGAGAGTTCTGATTGCTTCAGTTTCTAGTAGGATACCAGACCTACCAGATTAAGGACTGGTCCATTGACGTTGTTTAACCTTAACAGTCCCATTTCCCAAACATAATCAGACTGAGTGTGTAGGGCTTCAATATATGAATATGGAGGTGGAGAAGAGAATTCTGTCTGTAACAGTAACCCAAATATGAAATAATTAGAGCATGGAAATGATGAGAGCAATATGGAAAAGAGGGTACTTTAACCCCCAGTGGAAAAAAGTCCAGGGTGGTGTACATGCTAGGTAAATGCTCTACAACTGGGCTATATCCCACATGTCTAGGAAAGACATTTTGAAAGACTACTTTAAGAAGTGTAATGGAAGTAGCAATAATGCCTTAGAAATAATACTAAGTTAATTTGCCTTTACTGTGTTGAAATGGTGACAAGAAAGGTAAGTAGAAAATTCAAAGTGTTCTCTATTTTTAATAGTTCGCACTTTTATGTTATAAAATATACTTTTTCCTGATGTAAGCAGAAGGAAATATATTGAAAAGCTATTTGAGTACCTCTGATAGACACAGAGAGGGTACAAGACCAAAGTTAGGCTCAGAGAAAGCATTGGGAAGACTGGACACAGGCAGCCTCATCTTACACCACGTCTACCAGCTAAGTGGGTATGTTTTGCTATACTTGCTGTCCGGGCACCCACTGCCTTCTGAAGTTCTGTGTAGTTGCCTATGAAAAGGTCTTCAGATTTCATTTCTCTAGCTGCTATTTAAGATTGTTCTTTTTATTAGACTTTTGGTTAAAATTTTTTTCTTTTGGTATATGCTTCATTTTGAATAAATACTATTTCTGTCTTGTTTTTAATTTCTGTGCAAAAAATTGTTCCAAACCTTACACCAACATAAATTTAGTATCAGTCATAGTTATCTTTTGCTTAGAATTTACTAGGCTGTCAAAAAATAAAACACCTCTTTGGCTAATTCAGTTCCTAGGTAAAGAAGCTCTATTATGAAATTTTTAAAAATCAGAAAAAAAATTGAAGCAGATTTAAGGAAATGGAAAAAAACCTTCCATGGAAAGTTTAACATTGTGAAAATGGCAATATTGCCCAAAGAAATTTACAAATTCAATGCAATACCAATCAAAATCCCAACAATATTCTTCATTCCAAAAATTCATATGGAATAATAAGACCCCAAAGAGAAAAAAAAATCCTTAGCAGGAAGAACAGTGTTGGAGGAATATCAATACCAAGATCCAAACCCTATTACAAAGCCATAGTAATAAAAACAGCTTGGTAGTGACACAAGAATAGGCCTGAGGACCAACGGAACAGAACAGAAGACCTAGAAATGAACCCACAGACCTACAGCTGGGCAGAATTGACTATGCACATGCAGAAAACTGAAGCTAGAGCCTTACCTATCACCCTGTACCAGGATCACTTCTAAATGGATCAAAGACTTCAATGTAAGGCCAGATACCATGAAACTATTACAGGAAGGATTATGGGAAAAACTAGGGCTCCTAGGCATGGGTTGAAACTTCCTAAATAAAGATCCAGAATCAGAACAAATCAAAGACTAGATAAATGGGATCACATGGCAAAGGACATAGCTAGCTAAAAAGTCCACAGAATGGGGGAGGATTTTTACAAGCTATGTATCAGACAAGGGCCTCATATCTAAAATACATTGAGTTCAAACAACACCTCCCCCAAATAAACCCTCAAAGAAACAACTCAATAATGGGCTAAAGACTTAGAGACTTCTCAAAAGAAGTAAGAATGGCCAATAGACACATGAAGAGAGATGTTCAACATCTCTGGCCATAAAATACAAATCAAAACAGCATTGAGATTTCACTTCACCCCAGTTAGAATGGCCATGATCAAGAAAACTAAGTAACAGATGCTGGCAGGAAGGTGACCAAAAGAGGGAGCACTACTACATTGTTGGTGGAAATGTAAACTTGTTCAATCAGTCTGGAAAATAGTATGAAGGTTGCTCAAAAGACTAAACATAGAGCTCCCCTTTGACCCAGCAATTCCACTTTTGGTCATGTATCCAATAGACCACAAACAAGATCATACTAAAGCTATCAGCACAAAAATTTAACATTAGCAAAATGGTATATATAGCTAGTATCATCTAAGGACATTTGTTATAGATATGTCCTTTGATAATTTAGTGTCTTCAGTGTAGCTAATTGATGAACCTCACTAGGAGGTTTCTGTCTTTTTTGTCTCTGTCCTTAACAGGCTATTCCTATGAAGAGAAAAGGTATTGCTAAATTGCTTCCTAGCTTCAGTTATTTAAATTCATGGTACATTATAATGATGTTACATAAAGTTTTCGGAGCACAGTAAGGGGGAAAGATGTCTACCAAACATTTCAAGATTTCAGATTCCCACTGCCTTGTTAACAATTAGGAATTTAGAACAGTGTCCATTTGTCATCTTGCAGTGCCCGTAGGTCAGAAGTCTGTGCACAGCTCAGCTGAATCTCAAAAGGCTGCCATCAGAGTCAGTCAACTAACGTCACAGTTTTGCTTAAATGTGGTTGTTGGCAGAATCCACTTACAGCCATAAGACTGATCGCAGCTTGGCTTCACTACCAGAAGCCTCTTTGTCCAAGAATTTTGTTAACGCTGGATGAAAGATATGAATATAATAAATACCCCCAGAAACTCAAGGAACTCTTAGTAGGAACCCAAACTTAGTAGCTAAAGGCACTAATGGGAAAAGATGTAAGGAAATGAGGGATAAAAAACCCTATAAGGCATGTAAAAAAAACAACAAAATTACAGATGTTTTTCCCTGTTAGTATTTAAATAGTATCCTTATTTGTATTCAAATCAGAAAGTGTCCTAAAGATAGAGATTGGCACCAGGTATGGTGGTGCATGCCTAACAGGAAGATCAAGGCCAACCAAAATTACAGAGAAGGGAGGACAAGATTTGCAGAATGGATTTTAAAACAATCAGAAAATACACTATTTTTGTAAGATACTCAGATTGATAACCCTTTTAAATCCTCACAAAGAAAGATGTATGATGGGTTACTTGAAACTACAAAACTTCACTGAAAGATGACTCATATATATATAATATACACACATATATATATACACATGTATATATATATATATATATGTTCATAAATCAGAAAACCTAATATCTTAAAAGATATTGCCATGGAAATGACCTACAAATTCAGTTCAAGTCTAATAAAAATCCTCTTTCACTCATGAAAATGACAAAGAAAATACATCTCACTCTGGATAGGAATTTCCTCTGGATAGAAATATCCTCAGGGGAAAAAAATTTCTGAGGACCACTTCTTTGGATTCTTATTTTCTTCTAGATTTTGGCCCCTTGGTTCCTCACTATATTGTAATTTTGAGATTTTTTTTTTCTTTAGAGAGATTTGTTTTTGCAAATCTAGTTCTCTCTCTCAAATAAGATTGCTCTTCTTGCTGTTTCCTCCTATTTACTTTCCTGTCAGACAAACAAAAATTTATTCAGTGCTTACTATATGACAGCCAATTCTAAACACTGTTACATGTCCTTAAAACATCCCATTGTAGCCTATGTTTGTAAACATCTGAACATTAACCAAAAGTCAATGCTTGTCTCAGGCATTCCATGGTAAGTAAGCTAGAACCTCACGCTGGATCATTAACCCTTCACAAAGTCTGACAGAGAGGCAGAAGGAACTTAGAGGTAAGAACCTGAGTGTTAAGTGAAGAGCTGACATTTGTATTTCACACACTGGCCTGAGTGAGAGCAATCTGTATTTGTGTCTTTTCTATCCCACAGAGACCGCCAGCCTGCAGGAGAAACCCACACAGCCTCCTGATCGAATTGGGGAAAGTCCTTGGATTATAAATCCCCCAAACAAGGGCTCAAAGAAACCACCATCTGTGAAGGACAATGTTAAAACAGATGCCGCAAATGCTCCAAAGCCTCCCCTGACAGAGTCCTCCAAAGATACCAATACGTACTATTCCACCTTCTCCGAGACCTCTCAAGAGCCACGTACAAAGTAGTAGCAGCCATACCTTGCCACCCTTCTTTCTTTCCAAGCCTAAGGGTATTAGGGTAAGAAGTAGTCAAGAAGGCAAAATGGAAGAGCCTTGGGGAGAATCATTCTGGTCCAGCCACTCTATAAAGAATTCATCTCAGTAAGATGGGGAAACAGTGATGTGTGATCTTGAAGTATTAAGGGGTTGTCTCATCTTAATACCTCTGCTGTATTTCCTGCTAAGTGACTGTGGTGGGCATCTAATCCTAACTACTCAGGAGGCTAAGATCTGAGGATCAAGGTTCAAAGCCAGCCCAGGAAGAAAAGTCCGTGAAATCCTCATCTCCAATAAACCACCAGAAAACTGGAAGTGGCGCTGTAGCTCAAGTGGTAGAGAACTAGCCTTGAGCTGAAGAGCTGAGGGACAGCACTCAGGCCCAGGGTTCAAGGCCCATGACCGACCCAAAACAACAACAACAAAAAAAAAACACCTCTTAAGAAGTCAGAAAGTAAACAGTTGGGTTCTTTGCCTCCCTTCCCAGGCTGAGCAAGCCTAGGGGATGGATGGATGCAGTGGTGATGTCATCCTAAGTCAAGGAATGATAGGTGTCAAGGGCAATACCTCTCTCTCACACACACACACCCTTTTTGATAGGCAGCATCCCACCACACACTGATTCCCAGGGGGAGGTGGGACATGATCCCATGTTTGCTTAGTAAAATAGCCTTTGGCCTTGAGAGAAAACTAGAGCTCTCTGGTAGCCCAGACAGCATTAGTGAGTTGACTTTCTCTGGGTGACCTTCACCCATGGACAATCCCTCTCTGGGCATTGGCCTTTCTCCTTGGCATGACGGCATAAGGCAGACTACCACAGCACCTTCCTCCTGGTCCAGATTTATCCACACTGTGGACTCGCAGGCATGTTTCCACAGACAGCCACATCATCATTCCAGAAAGCAAAGCTGCTACTCCCTCACAGCAGGCCCTCTCTCCCTCCTACACAGCTCATGGGGAGGTCAGGGAAGAGCACTCCCTTTGCAGGAGCGGGGGTCTGCTCAGGTGCACAGAGGTGGATGGCCCTCCTGAAGTAGCAGGGAAACCTCGCGAGTGGCTGGTAAACACTCACGCCCCTCTAGGCTAGACACATAAGGATTTAACCTAACTGGTGCTAAGATTCTTGGACATGTACCGTCTTATAAGCCAAGAATGTTCTAACAGGGTACAAGGGCCATTCTGGCTCTGCTGGCCTGTAACTAACAGGAGCCAGAAGCTGGTTCCAGCCCATGCCCACTCAAATTGATGTCCCACACCAATCATCTGGCCCCTTGAGATCCTTGCAAAGCATATCCAGGGCTCAAACGCTCCTACCCACAAACCTAGATCAGGCAGGCTCAGACACAGAAACTAGTCATTCAGGTGACTCTCCTACAGGTTCCTGTCCTGACCCCACACTCCCTTTCCAGCAAAAACACTACAGGGCCAAAGGATAAACATATACTTTATACCCTGAGGCAGTCAGGGAGACAAGCAGGAGCCCTGCACTCACACTGTGGTACACATAGGCAGTCTGGTTCCGTCCCTCCAGCTGAGGATGCTGAACTCAAGGAAGTAACCCAGCCCCTTGGGTTCCAGAGTATCCTGTTCAATGCACAAGAGCTTTGGTTGTTCCCAGTGGGGAGGCCTGGGTTGTCCTCTCAATGGCTCTGTCCACTTGGTGCACAGAAGGATGCAGAGGCATCCAAGGAGCACAGGCTCATACATTGGAAGGCCACATGAAGTTAGGACAAGAACTAACCCCGGTGCTAGAAGAGGATGCAGGGAAGCTCTGACCTCACTGAAAACTGCCTGGAGGTCCAGTTGATAGTCAACCCAGCTTCCATGCCAGAATGGCACAGGTCCTCCCCAGCTGCTGCCTAGAGAGCAGGCCCAGAGCCAGCAGCTCCTCCAGTGGATTCACTTGCCGCTCCTGGCACTCCGCTGTTTGCTCATGGCGGTGAGCATCTGGCTAATGTAGGAAGTCAAGAGGTCATCCATCTTGTAGCCCTGGAAGCAGGGTTGGGGAGATAAGCAAAGCATAAATGGGGCAAGGTCAGAGACTCAGACCCAGGACCAGGGCAGTCGCCACACTCAGAACTTGGCCTCCCCATCCACACAGGTAAGGACCGGATTCATCCATCCATCCAGACCGCTTGCTCCCAAACTTCATGATCCCACATTAAGCCCTCAGCATCCTGGATGCCTCCCTCTAGCCGTGACAATGAGGCAACCAGTTGAGCTACACCTTAGAGTTCAGCCTAGATGATGTTGCTAACAGTTCCAGCTGGTGAATGGGACAAAAGTCTGGTCAGCACACTCACTCCTCAGACGCTGAAACTGGAGTCTGCTCCTCAGCCTCTGATGAAGGCTCTTCCTCAGCCCTAAGTGAACCTGAACTTGGACCCTGACCGTATCCAGACACACTGAACACTCTTCCCCCCTAACCCCGCGTTGGCTCTAGAGGCCGGCAGGGACTCAGGCCAGGCTTGCCAGGAGGATCTCTCACCAGCGACGTCTCACACAGCAATTTGCTCCCTCGGACCAGGTTCCCAATGGTAATGTGGAAGTAGGTGTTGCCACTGCTCCAGTTGGAGATCTTGGTGAAGGGATGCGTAGTCAGGATGTCCTGGGGGAGTGGCAAGACAGGATGCTGACACACAGACACAGAGACAAACACACAGACACACACACACACACAGACACACACACACACACACACACACCCTCTGAGCTCCAGCCATAGACATCACCTCCTCCCAGAAGGCCAAGGCCCTCACATGAGGAAAAGAGCAAGAGGCCAGCTCTATGTGGAGCTGCCGGGGGAAGCAGGCACTAGCCCCATCCCCCCATGCCATTCATAGGACCTAAAAGTCCAGTAGCTGTTGGGTATTTGGGACCAGTATTATGCAAAAACAAGACAGTCTTGGGGGACACAATATATACAGTCTGGGTATAAAAAAACACAAAATATGCACAAAAGAATGACAGATACAGGAAACCCAAGAACATGTAGCCTTGAAGCCCAGGAGGAGAAGAATGACCATTCATACTCTTCGCCAGCCATCTGGTTGTCCCCCTTCTGGGGCCATAAACATGATTACCTCCAGCAGAGGCTGCCATCAGAGAACATGCTAGGAGGAGGACAACTTGTCACATCCAAGTTGGTGGGATTTATCAGCAGGGGGGTTGTGAGTAAATCTAGGAAGCCAGTTTCCATGGAGCAAATGAGGGGCAAAGAAAATCCATAGGAAATCACAGCCCAGCCTCTCAAAAGTCGACAGTAAAGAGCCTGAAGAATGAGGTCAGGCTGGAGGGGCTTGAGTGAGGCTGGGACTTGGGGCAGCAGTGCAGAGATACCCACCCTGCTTGCTCACCTTAGTCCTGGGATCGATGAGGCTCACTCCATACTTGTTGATGGCAATTAAGAGGATCTCGGGGAAGTTTGGCTCCGTGGTTTGCTAGAAAAGGTGGGCAACTATAAGATGGGGAAGCTAGAGCAGGACAAGCACTGGGAGGCAGGTGGACCTCCACCCTGGGTGGATGACATCCTGGCCTCCTGCCTATTTGGAGCCAGGGATGCAGAGGCACTGGTGGCCCTCCCATGACCTAAGGGTTTCAACCTCTGTCACAGTCTTCCCATACCTCTTCATGGGTCCATTCCTGCTCTTTGCTTCCCTTGGAGGCTTGGCTAGGTCCATAGTCTCCGCCCAACCATCTCCCATCTTTTGATACTATTTTGAGGGGCTGAGGGGATGTCAGGGACTATACTGGGGCTGGAACTCAGGGCCTGGGTGTTGTCCCTGAGCTTTTGTGCTCAAGACTATTGCTCTACCACTTGAGCCACAGATCTACTTCCAGTGGTTGGTTGGTAGGAGATTAAGAGTCTCACAGACTTTCCTACCTTGGCTAGCTTTGAACCTCGATCCTCAGAACTCAGCCTCCTGAGTAGTAAGGATTGCAGGCATGAGCCACTACCACAGCCTGGCTCCAAGTCCTTTAAAATCCCTCCTTGGCTGTACACTGGTGGCTCACGCCTGTAATCCTAGCTACTCAGGAGGCTGAGATCTGAGGATCGTGGTTCAAAGCCAGCCTGGACAGAAAAGTCTGTGAGACTCTTATCTCCAATAAACCATTAGAAAACTGGAAGTGGCACTGTGGCTCAAGTGGTAGAGCACTAGCCTTGAGCTGAAGAGCTGAGGGACAGCACCCAAGCCCAGAGTTCAAGCCCTATGACTGACAAAATAAATAAAATCCCTCCTTGAACCCTACACCTGCCCAGCTATTCACCTAGCCCTTTTTGCTCCTTGCACAGGTAGGCTGCTCAGGAGCCCTGCACCCTCATACCAGTGTCTCCATTCCCTTGCCATGGCTATCCTGGGGTCTGAGCGGCTGTCTGGAGTTGCCATTCCTATTCAAACCCTCCAGAGCTCAGGGTCACCTGGAGGAGGAGGCCCCACCCCCCACCTGCTTGCCAGCCTCCCTCTCAGTCATTGCCTACCTACACCCAGCCACACTTAGACCTTTGCCCATGCAGAGCTTCTGCCAAGAGCATTCTCTCAGGGATCTCCCTAGAAAGCTCAGGTGCCACTTCTTCCCTGGCTCATCTCAGTCTGAGCAGGATCTCATGGGCTCTGCCACCTTGGTTAGCACTTGCACTGTCAGCACAGGCCACCCTCCATTCCAGATTAAGCTGCTGCTCCTTCCATCCTCAGGGCTGAGCCCAGACACAGCTGTATGTGTTTCCCGACATCCCTTGCTGGGGCAGCTGTCCATGGCCATTATGGCTTCCCTCCGTCCCCAGGAAGGAGTCTCTGTGCCTGTGCTGCCCCTCTAGCCCTCCTCCTCCTCCTCCTCTGCGGGCTCCCATGACATACCTTCACCTCAAAGAAGGCTGAGCCAAAAGTGGGCCACTTGAAGATGAGCTTCAGGAAGGCCAGCTTGGCCTCCTCCTTGGACTTCCCCGCATGCTTGTTGAAGTAGGCAACAAT